GTTGTCACATTGTGAAGGTAATGAGTTTTAGGGGCACCTTAGTGATGTATAATCTTAAATCTTAACTTTCAAAAGTAACTTTGAACATGCAGAAAGCTGTTCATCACCACTGAAACTTGTAGCCAAATGTCAGCTGTTGTGAATTGGACAGCAAGATTTTTTTGGATGGACAGCTGAAGATATTTTGGAGTAGACTCAAGTGTCAAGTAGTGTGAGCTATTTGAACATCTGCAGGTTTAGGACATCTGCAGAGAATCCCAGAATGGCTGGGATTCAAGAGGACCACAGTGACCATCTACCTGCAGTCCCTCTGCTATGTGCAGGGCTGCCAGCCAGCAGACCAGGCTGCCCAGAGCCACATCCAGCCTGGCCTTAAATGCCTTCAGGGATGGGGCATCCACAACCTCCATGGGCAACCTGTTCCAGTGCATCACCACCTGCTGTGTGAAAATTCACCTGTCTCATCTCCTGGTTCTGTGCTGAGGAAGATTTTTGAACAATGACGTGTGGAGATGAATGGATATGACAGAAAGAATTTAGGAAAACATTTAAATATGAGTCGTCTGTTTCAACACATGATGATGCACCAGGTACCTGGATTGTGCTGATGTGGCATTTGATGTGGCCCTGGGGCATTTGTTTGGCTGCATAAGCTCTCAGTGGTAATATATATATGTGTATATATATATATAAAATATTTAAATATTTTCCCCCTAAATGCAACAAATGGTGAAGAGATTTTAATTCTACTGAGGCATGCAGGATTCATGCTTATAAAGGTTTTAGTGTTATCTCATTTGACGGATGACAAATTACATATGCTTTTCTGGTGCTTTTGAAAGGCTTCATTTTGACTTGGAGAGATTTTTCTCCCCAGTATATAGCATTAAATGAACTGCTTTATATATTCTCCTTTATTTCTGTATTTCAGAAGGTTTCTACAATTAGTAGACTTAGTGTCCTTCGCACATAGAGCATATTAGCAGAACTGGCTACACTGTGTTACACAGATCTTGGTCATAGAGTTGTCTTGTTTGCTTATAGTTCTTACTGTTACAGCAATAAGGGAGCAAGTCTAGGAGACAAAGTTTGAATGCCTGCTTAGCTGAGCTGTAGTGGCCTCTGTGCCAAAATCTTCTGAAGATCTAGAGGACAAAGATACTGTTTATCACCATTTAAATGTTGGCAGGCTGTATTGTGCAGTCCTGGCTTAAGCTGGTTTGGGAAAGCAGGAAGATGTTCCTTCTGGTCATCTGTGATGTGACAGTATGGGTGAAATTTCCTCTGTACGTCTGCATTTTACAACATGTTACATTGAAATATTATAACTGCATAAACTATCAAGATAGCTGCTAGGTTGGGGAAATAAGCTTAAATCAATTTCTGGTATGGATTTTGAGGCAAACAGAATGCTGACAAACAGTGGTACTGGAAATTAAGACAGACGCAAAAGCCTCTTAAATCAAACCTCTGATCCGACAAAATCCTTGATGACATCATCCTTCAATGATTATCTGTTATGTACAATTCAACTAATTCTTTCCTATCTGTAGTTGCCAAAATGTTAAACATGAACTTGTAATCTTTGTCTTTGTGTAAGGGCTGTAAAATTGTGGCAGAAAACAAATATTTAGAGTTGTAAGGAGATTAACCAAATGTACTTACTTGGCAGATGGTCCACAATTACCAGTAATATTGTTATGAACTTAGTACTGTGGCTTGGGTTCAGCCAGCAGCATTGTCAGTATGGGTGAATGTGTTAGGCTGACAAGATGAGTCTACTGCTGTACTGTTGACATTTGTCTGGATCGCTTCTATTGAAGTAGCAGAGCTACAATTATTTCCATTTAGTTCAATAAATGTAGCAGTTAGAGGTAGTTCTTAGATCTGTATACATACTGGGAGGATGTGTTCTTCCATATGTTCAGTTTTCCAAATGCTGAATCAAAAAATAACTGGAAATGTGGGTGGCTAACCAGGTTGTGCCAGCTCCTGTATTAATCACAGATGAATTTCAGAAATGTATCATCATGTACATACTGATGTACTCTGGGTAATAATGGTGGGTATGAGTCTGAGATGTTTTAAAATGGCAAAGCATCCCCAATGAAAGCAGTATGTCTGTGCTATCGTGGTGCCTTCTGTAAATGCCACACAAACTTTAAGCCTTTTGCTTTTGAAAGCATTATGCATCAAGTTGTTGTAATACCCTGCTGCTATCTCAGCAGAACTGTGATGTCACTGTGAAACAAACATTGCAGAAGTACTGTGAGAAAGGACTGATGTGTTGTGTTAAGAAAATGGGAAGCCTAATGACTTTCATGAGAGTTTTTTATAGTCCTACTTCTGGACTGCCCTTCTTTCCTGTAGATTTTCATGACAGATTCTTAAAAGTCAAAAATAATTGTAGATCTGTATCAGAAGTTCAGGTTGTGCGCAAGAACAGAAGATGAGAAGAATAGGTAGGAAGACAAATGTTTGCATTGAGGTCATGAACATGAGCTTGTTGAAAGGCAAGTGTTCTTGTAAGCAGATTTTGCACAGAAATTCAAATGGAAAATATATTCGTTCAAGTTAGAATACTTTGTCCTCCTGGAAGAAGGATGTTGGTAACTTTCTAGCCTGCATGGACAAAACTGAAATGTAAAATGGAAGTGCGCAAGTGGTGAAAGCATGGTCAGGTAACCCTAATAATACAAGAACAAGGATGGGCTTGGGGAAACCTAAGCCCTGCTGGAGTTTAATCTGGCAAGAGACAAAAAATCTTGGCTGCTTTTCATACAAGTGCATTAGCAACAAAACTGGGTTCAGAGGAAAGGTGGGCCTGCTGCTCAAAGGGGTGCTGCCCTTGGTTAGAGGACATGGAAAAGGCCAGGGTTACCAGGCAGCAAACTCTTGCTGGGTGGAGAGAGTGCTTTGTAACTACTTCTGTTCTAGCAGGGATCAGTTTACTCATAACTTTCATTTTTGTATCTCCTCTTGTGTTTGTAGAGGGAAAGTTTCTTCTATCATTTAAAATGTACATGAGTACATTTCCTGTAAAGGAAGCAGATCTTCTTCTCTATGGTATTCAGGGAGTCTCAGATGAGGCTGTTGTGAATCTTCACTTTTTTCCTTTCCACATAAACTGTCAGCTGGCTTCTTTAGAGCAGTCGGAATGCTTGAGACACTTGTCAAAGTCTTTCCATAATGTGAACTTAAGAACGCAAGGAGCTGCTTTAACCCCAGTCCTTCTGACTGCAGTCAAGATCTCACTAAGGAGCCACAAAGAATTCATTAACTTGTGGAGCAGGTGCTGTTCCCAGCCCACACATTAGTGTTTGTATTCAAGAAGGTCCAGAATAAATCAGAAACCTACCTGGTGGGATCTGCGTGTGACCTTTGAGAAACAAGTTGCACCTGTTCATTTATGCCCTGTGGGGCAGGCAGATGCCCTGTCACTGTGTTAAATAAGGTGGTAATGCACTGACAGAAATATAGTGCAGAGCACTAAGGTGTACGGTGTGGCTGCTTTTCCCTTGAGGTCATTGGTCACCTGCAGCATGGGAGGAGTGACTGACTGTGGGGGAAGACTAATTCCAGCAGTTCCTGGACAGACTCATGTCCAAAACAAGTGTAAGAAATGCACAAAGCTGTAAATTTCCAGAAATATGGCATGTACCATTTCAAGCTGAGTTTGTCAGAGCCAGTGCTTTCGTTTGGTGATACTGGGTACTCTCAGAAATTATTTCTTCTCAGAAGGAGGCAGAGAGAATTGGGATAAAGAGCATCTGTGCTAGCTTCCTTTAGGTATATATTTTCCTGAGTCTTAATCAGGTCACTTAATGATCCTCTGTGTCTCCATTGACTGTACAGCATGTCTGAAGATGAATGTCCAGATATGCTATTATGGACACTTTGCACTTGACAATGCTGCTGCCAGATATGAGGGAGCAGTGTTGTCCTGGTTTTATTTTATGCTTGTTATGATTTTGTTCCAAAGTGACTCCTCAAATAAATGGCTCTGTAACTTTATTACATTTCTTACATATGCACTGCTTTGGCAAAAGGAAGCGAGGTGCTTTGAGGTGAACGAGGTGACTGAAATAGTTCAGACCATTGTAGGATGCATGTCTCTGGGCTGCAGGGGCAAAGCAGCCTTTTCCGGGATTGTGATGGGGCTGCAGAGGTGCATGGGCCCTTCTCTGAGGTGGGGACCACTTGGGGCGTGCAAACATGTTACCTCTGGGACGTGCAAACATGAGGAGATTGCCACATGCAGTCCCCAAGGCAAGGGGAAATGGGCAAAGTCATATGCATTGTCTGTCCCATCAGAAGTGGGACATATTGGAGCAAAAGTAATCTGCGGATGGCTGTAGCTTTCTGGAATTGGGAAGGGTGGAAATATAAGGCTTTTCTGTGGGGGAGAAGGTGGTACTAGTGTATGCAGTCATGGTGGTGGTTAAGCAAGGAGAATGTGAGTGGCCCTGATTTAATTCTTGTTTCTTGCATATGAAGTCACTGGAGAGTTGGTGTACATCTGGGTGGAGTACAGAAAAGACTTCTTGCACAATTATTTTGGCAAATAGTATTCCCTGGAGCAAAATTGGCATGGCGGTATTACCTGGTCCTGATGCTCAGTGTGCTTCTGGGGGAGGCTGGCGGTGTCTGAGACAGAAGTGTAGGTCATCCGCTGTATTTATTTTAGTTCTTTGCTGCATTGTAAAATGTGAAGGGCATTAAATTATTGGAGTGGATAACTTACTCATACCTGTCACCTTGGATCTATTGTGTGCATGAGATTTAGAGTTCTTGTAATGCATCTCAGTAAGGTCTAACATAAGAATCTGTCTGCAGGCTTGGCTTTGGGAACGTGGAACTCCTCATTTCTCTTTTTAGACACTTCATCAAATTCTGTATTTAGAAGAAAAATGCAGTTCTGCTTTGCAGGTTATAGCATCATAAAGAAGTTGAACGTATTGATGTAGTCACTGTGTTCAAGGCTGTTTTCTCTTTTCCAGAGGTGTTGTTAAAGTCGACATAAATCTGCAGAAGGTGGATATCGACCAGTGCTCGAGTGAGGGGTGGTTCTCAGGAACACACAGGTGTCATCTCAACAACTCTGAGGTATGTTTGTAGGGAACTGAGCTACCCTTCAGTTAAGTCTTTCCACTGTGAATTGTTTTTGTAGTAAAAATGCTATGATTTTAAAGACTTTGTGTTATATAAGCTGCAGAGGTCTTTTCGTTCAAGATGCTGTCACGGAGTTTTAAGAGTTTTAAAATGCTTGCATTTCAGGAATATTGATACTAAATAAAACAAGGTAAGTTATTGTACAGAAACATCTGCTTATAGGGATAGTGAAATGATTTATGAAATTCTTCATCTGACTCAAACTATTTTACATTTATACATTAAAAGCCTATTTTCATTTTTACTTTTGAGTGGTCAACCTTGTGAAGTGCAGTAAAAGTAACTGAGATGCTGGTGGTGTTTATTCAAAGTGGCTTGGTCTTTGGAAGAATGGAACAAGAATAACAGAATTGGATGTCATAATTGTTCTTTAATAGAAATGTCAGTATTTTTACAGAGCTAATTAAATGTTTATGTTCAATTCCTTCCTGCTTCCCCTTTCTCCTCAGAGCCTGTGTCTGGCCAATCATATGATACACTGACAGAGGGAGCCAGACTGAATGATCTATGTATTTAATGGAACTTCAAAACAAAATACATGCAGTGACTTTATTTGATTATTACATGTAACGTTGTTTTCGAAGGTGCAAGTTTGCTATCTATGAGATGCATGTGCCTCATGTATTTCTGCATTTTCAGGAAGCTTAATTAAAAAGCTGGAAGTCTTTTAGCAGAAGCTAGGAGTTGCCTGGTCATAAAATGCTCATTTATCAAAACCAAATCTGAATGTAGGAAAAGACTTCTATCTGAGGAATTCATCTGTTAACCTTATGTGAGCATGAAAATCTCAGAATTATTGTAAATATCCTTCTTGTCTTTCACTGGAATTCTTTTTTTCTTAAACTATATATGCAATAAGAACCAATAAGAACTAAGACTCAACTAAGTCTTAGTTTAAAGACTAAATTCACATGGGATTTTTTCTTTTTGCTTTGTCAAATTTTGCCTTCTGAATTCAAGGTAACACTTGTTCAATATCTCATATTTCTTCTTAGAAGATGTAACTTCCTGTGATATCTTAGTAAACTTTGCTTTTTAATATGCTACTTTCTGAAATGTACCTAGACATTTTGACAAGTGCTCCTCCTTTTCCTAATTTCTTATGAATAGAAACCTCAGCAGGGGGTTGAGATGGTAAATTGTATTTCTTCCTGCAACTAAGAAGAAAATCTGGGGTGGGGAGCATGTGTGTGGCAGTTAAGGTTAAAGAAGAACATCTAAGGAAAATGGAGATAATGGAGAAGGATCAGAAGCCAGTTCTAATGCCCCTTTGAAATGGTTCAGAGCCTGTTGTTTGCTGTAATGGGTTCTGAATCGTGTTGTGTGTTCTTAAGCAAAACAGAATCTGAATATAAGCATACCGGAGGTAATTTCAAAATTACATTTCTCTTTGAAATCGGAATCTTTAAGTCTATATCCTGAGAAGAATACAGAATCTGTTCCCTCTGAAATAATTGGTTGGAGAAGGAGGGGAAATGCATCTTCCTCTCTTTGCACGTGAGAAGTGGAGTGTAATGTAGGAAACTGAGTGCAAAGGAAATTGTTCTAAAGATGACCTTCAGGATTATGGAAGGTTAGAGTCCAGGCTGCTTCTGTGATTTGAGCTTACTGTGCTTTAGAAACTGTGGGTGGCATGGTCCACTGAAAGAGGGAAGGTTCCCTTCAGCCTTAATCCAGAGCTTCGTCTGAATTCCGAGCTTCGCTCTCCTGCTGAGAGCGTGGTGGATGTTTCCTAGCTGCCTTGTGAAACAGTTTTTAAACATAAAATGCGAAGTGTACATTACAGGTCAGTCCTTCATACTTGGTTTTTGGGCTGGTGTTACAAAGAATGTTTTGTTTTTCATACTGGAAAGATGCATGTTTTGTTTTAGTAACTTACTGCAGTGCTGTAGTCCAAAAATGAGTTCCTGTGATGCAAAAAGGAAATAAAATGTTCTCAGGCAAAAGTTCTGTTTCTGCTCCTTCTATGCAAGAGGTATGCATGCCTTTAGCTGCTCCAACAGGCTTCACCAATATTATTTTGTTATAGTAACACAGCTTAGACATCTAACAACTCATCGATGTAGATACTTAAATGCAGATTCAGTCTTGAATCCCATTGTCAGTCTACCAAAGTAGAGATATGCAGTGTTGCTCTTGAGAACAGGAATTCTTTAGTGAGTGATGCTGTATAAGTGGGATGAGCTAATGCTCGCAGCTCAAGGTGTTAATGACATACATGGATGGAGAAGAGCACTACTGTGTAAATGGCTTTTCAACTTATCTGTAGAACAGAAACCTCTTACCTGTTTTTGACTTTTTTGAGTACTAAATCAACAAAGGTCTCATGATGTACAGAAGGTGTTACTAACATCCCCCAAAATGTAGCTTGCCAGCTGGGAGTGCTTCTCCTTATTGTGTCTGAAGAGAAGGCATCAATGACCCTGGAGACAGGCAGTTGCTAGAAACAGCCTAAGAATCTTCTTTTCCTCTGTGGTCACCACTTCAGGAGGGGGCTTCTTTATTTACAAATCTACACTTTGGAATAAGGGTATATCATGTAATAGTGCAGTAATGCTTTCCACCTAGCTTGACTTACTAATAAAATGTTGTTCCCCATCTTTCATTTTCTCTTTTGAGGAAAATACAGAAATACCTGCTGGTGTCAGAATGATTTGTCCCGAGTTACAAAATCATTCTCAAGCAGAGAAAGGAAGGGAAAAGTGATTTAAGTTGTTAGACCTTGCTGCTGCTTTTCAGTTTTGTTAATGACTTGAGCATTCAGAGCTACATTGTCTTTCCACAGACTCTTAGGTAAGCCTTTGCCTTAGCGAAATTGCCATTTGTTGCTGAAAGTGTTTACTACCAAGGTACCTGTTCCATTTAATGACAATGTCGTTAAATCTAAGGCAGAGAGCTCAGTTTTTTAGGGATACAAATCTGCTCTTCCCTGTCTAAAACTATAAGCATACAGAGAAACCATACATGGGGAAAAAATATACAGGTAATTTGGGCTCTGTGGGGCTGCAGTGAATGAGGTGGGTATTATTTATAGGACTGGAAATAATTGAAATGTGTTGGGCAGAATACAGAATGTTACAGGAAATTTTGAAATTAAAAAGAAGGGAAAAGACAGCTTCCTGATGACAAATACAAAGTGATTTCATTGTACAGGCGAGGCTGGCTGGAGCAGTAAGAAAGAATGCATTTTTAGTGTTTAAAACATTTAATATTTTTCCTTTTAATAGATTAGGTTATTTCACCATAAATGCTGGCAGCAACTACTGGTGCTTTAAGTAATGACATTAGAGTCCTTGTTGAGACACTGACAATAAAATCAAGGCAGGGAAATGTCTGAAGAAATCAGCTAGCATTGTGCATTGAGCTGGCCTGAACACTCCCAGCCAGCAGCATCGGTCTGAAAACTGCAGTGGCTTCCACACTGTTCACTGTCTTTAATGAGACTGCCAACAGCTTGCACTGTGAGGCAGGCTCAGCTGACATCCCTTTGGGTTTAACAGTATTCCACAAATGACAGTGTGCAAAAATATCTAGAGGAAATGAGAGAGGCAGAGTAAACAAAAAGGCTGTGTTGCTGTCTGTGTAGGAAGACACATGGACCTGCTGAGTATTTATTTGATGCACAACCAATTGAGAAAGGAAACGTATGACGAGTTTGGTTCATTATTTCGTCTTTAGGTAGTGTAAACACTGCACCTTATTACAGTGAACATAGTATTACAGTCAACCAACTGAGGAAGATGGGGAAGGTTAGGAAGTTGGGAGAGGAAAAACAGCAGTGCTTTCTCTGTTTTTCTAAACATGTTTTCTGGTGTCCTTGTCAAACAGATAAAGGCTATTTAGTGCACCTGCATCGTGTGATGGGAGGTTAGCATTCAGTCATAGCCTGGTGGGTCATGTGCAGTGTCACTGTTTTTTTTCTTAATATTTGCATGTCTTTTGTCCTGTCTATTGGAGGGAAAAACGCAGTCAGAAAGAGAAGAACATGAAAATAATGTTGTGTATTGGTAATAGAATCTTACAATGAGGAGAATTTACAAAATACAGTTAATTTTTAGTATGTAGGTAATCATCCTTGGAACTACAGATTGCATTCAAGTTATGGCAAGAGATGTACCCAAATCAGGGCAGAGGACAGAAGGGTATATTTCCCCTTGGAAGAAAACAGGATCTTTAGTGATAGATTATAATTACTAAATCAAATCCTAGGCTGAAAGAGAAAGAAGTAAGATAGGAAGGTGAACAGTTCTATTTAACGTGCAAATAAAGGAGGGGAAAAAAAAACGAAAAGCAAAAAACCTGAGCAATTCTGGATCCAAAAGCAGGAAGGTTTTGTCTGACTGGCTGCTCATACAACTCAGTGTATTCGAAGAGCATGCCAGACACGAGCATTTCAGATGCTATTTTAAAAATAACTTTGCGTTAGGTGTGTTCATGGGAAAGATCCATTCACAACAGTATAGCAGACCTAATCTGGTATTCTTCCAGCTAGGATTGTGCTAAGTAAGGTAGGCATTTGTCAGAGCTTTCAGTGATAAGGTGCTATGAAAACTAACTTCCAGTATAAAGAGCAGGCAGGTTGCTTAGCTACGGCTATCATAGCCTTTTCAGGGAAAAAAAAATCCCTTAAATGATTCTGTTTACAGGAGTCAATCTCAATTTTCAGCATTTTTTTCTAAAGAAAACTTTTGTAACACTTGCTTTCATCTTAGTGCTAGCTTGAGCATTTAAATTCCTCCACGTTGGTTCTATTTGCTATTGTTTTCCTTTTCCCCGGAAGTAGAAAGTGGAAAAACCATAGATGGCTGGTTGAGAGATGCTGTCTGACGAAGAAAAATAGCATGGATATGTTTCCTTATGCAGGTGATAGGTGATCACAGGCAGCATTGATTACTGATGATTTTTTCAGGTCTATTCCAAAGTCTTTCAGAACT